TGTACAGAATCATACCAGATATGCATTTCTTTGATGAAGTACCTGTATTATTCTTTCTGTCACTTCTTGTATTCACCCAAGGATTTTTCACCATTCCTCAGACAGCTCCTCAGACAGCCCTGAACTCCATTGAACTCCATCACCTGAAGCAGGTTAGGGAGCAACATACATCACAAAAAGCACAGCTAGAAGGAGGAAGGAGCCTGTATATTGACATCTGCACTGCAAAAACATAAACATTTTAGCTTAAAATATTCCACTAATTCTCCAACGAACTACCCACTCTCTCATTGTTCCTGTTTCTTGCAAAGCAAATGCAAACTGTTAAATCAGATGCCTTCCATCAGAAAGGCCCCCAAACAAAAAGTCATGGCAACACATCCACAGAGCAGTGGCAGGCGTGGAGGAAGTGGTGGCAACACCTCTGGATGATGTTGCCATCCGTGACTTCAGCATTTGAAACCATATTTTTATTCTGGATCTGGGTGGAGGCTGCTACTATGCTTGGTTACAGAAGGGGACTTAATTGTCCTTAAATTATATGAAATTAAAGATGGCAGTTATACCCTTCACCTTCAATGATGTTTTAATTAGATCCATCCCACCAGCCAGTCCATCTGTGCGTATCCATTTTGGCATATTACTAATGTGTTTAAAGGAAATAAACAAAGCCATGTGTTTTATGTTAAAACAAAGAACACGACATCTTGGTCACATAGCAATTAATAATTTCAGTGGAATTTTATTTCAGCCCAATATTATGATATGGGTAATACACAAAATCACAAGATATTAGTTTTCTATGTGTCCAAGACATGTCTAGTACATCAGATGCCCTATTATTAACTTAACCGGTAATTTATTCAGATACTATTGAAAAATTGGTTTGGGATGCTTCTGGTAGTGAAAGAGCTAAGAGTCTTTTTCACATCTTTCACATGTATTCATTTGAAACAATTTATTGCTACTATCATATAAGATATCCTCTCTCTATATATATATATATTTATACCAAGCTGCACAACTTACGGTAAATTATTACATGTCTAAAAGTCGTCTGTAGTTCAAAGATTTGTTACTGAGCACAAAGGAAAATATGAGACACTTTGTTAAATGCATAGACTCAGCTGACTTAGCAGACATGTGACCACCAATGCTCAGAAATTTCTTGTGAAGTACCAGGTAGGAAGCCAAAAAGGAAGCATAATGCAATATGTTCTTAAAGTTATAATGGAACATATGAGAAAGAGAGTACAATGCAGTATGACTTACTCTGTAACTAGTCTAACCAGAAAAAACTAATTATAATCAGCTCGCCATTAATACTGGGTGGATTATCAAATTTGGAAATAAATTAGGCTAAGGATGCACAACAGCTGCCTTGTTTCCAAACAGTCCAATTAAAGCTGGCAGGGCTTATTAACTCAGGCACAGCACCATCCAGGCTTGGCACTGCTGCTTCCAGCCCTGAGCTGGTGCTGGGCAGTCAGGGGGGAAAGCACTTGGGCAGAGCTGGAAGCATGGCACTGACACCTTCAGTCCTGCAGAAGGCACAGTCCCAGCTGCCACCTCACAGCACGGTCCTTTCTGTCACATGGCCAGACTCCACTGGCTGCTTACCAAGGGATGTTCCTGGCCCTCCTCAAACAGGAACAAGACTGTCCTGTGTAAAACTGTGTAAAACAAATTTCAGATTTGAAGATGCACCGATTTCTGTGGACCTACAGTAATACTGGAAGATTTTATATCATTTTGCCAAGAGATTTGTTTAGCAGACAAATCTTGAGCTTCCAGATGAATTCAAACTTTCTTCTTCTTTCCTTTAAAATTGATCATTCTCCCAACTATGAGATTTTTTGGCTACAGCCAGGCTTTTCTGGGAGGAAGCATCATCTTTTCTTAGAAGCAGTACAATTATTTTATGTAATTAATTACTTCATGCTCAACACTCAATTATTTATTGATTTTACTTGATACTATGATTTCTTACTAGTTTTATAAGCAGTGTAGATCAGTTTAATTGTAGCCATTCTGAGGTTTTTTCCTTAAGTTTTCACACCCTAAGAGCGATTTTTCTTAACATAATTGAGTCATCTGCAGGTTACAGAATACATGTATACAAATTAATTGGGCTGCTTCCTGGAAGTGATCTCCAGCTCAGTTCACACTTCAATGGCGGGTCTTTTGAGTAATCACCTGACTGATTCTGGGTACTGTGCCTACTGTTTCCCTATTATCTTCCCATGTGTTCAGAGCTCCTAGAATGGCTGTAAGAGTGCTTTTCACTAGAAAGACTTTTTGTAGCGAGTATATTGCACTCAGTACCTGGAGATAGAACACGGAAACTCAGGAAACCCAGAAACTGTGTTTTCTTGTGTCCAAGAATGAGACACCTCAACCCAAAGGACTCTCCATCTGGGCACAAGGTACTTAACTTCTTTTTATGATACTGCTAATGCTGTATAAATAAATTGTTGAAATGTTTGGTGGTAGTACTGTGGGTTATTTAAATTCTTCTAGAAATGTTATTTGGAGTTACCAAAACTGAAGAATAATTCTTGAGACCAAGTAAAACCAAGCGACTGTAAAATTAAATTCAATTACGAATAGGAAACTTTTTGAAATTCAAAACCACCTAGACTGTATTGTGGAAGGTCAATAAAAAGATTTTGATCACTATAAATAAGCAATCTGACAAGTTTATAGCTGTGTAAGAAATGACGCAACAAAGAATGACAACTAGTAAAATGAATCAGCCTTCAGTAAGTTAATGAAGTGCTTTTTATTTTATTCAAATAAAACCAGTAGAACCTGTTCTGGACATAACTATCCTTAACTTTGGAATGACAAAAGGCTTCCACTCTTGAACTTCAAACTAAACAAAGCCATCAAAAGGAAGACAAAAACTTCCAGGTTATTGCACTGATGTGAAGTAAAACCACAAACCACTTCAATGCTTTCCTGGTGAAGGAAATACTTCAATTCAGTGGGTAAGAGCTGTTGCTGAACTATTTCAAGACAAGAGAGGAAAAGAAAGAGGCAAGAGTTTTAACTAAAACTAAGTATTTGGGAAATATTAAAAAATTCCTTGAAGCTACTTTAACAGATAATCTGATGAATCATGGTTCTCTTGTTCTCCATTAATTTTAAGTAACATTTTCAAAATCTCTGATGAAAGAAGAGTAAGATTTAACACACACTGACAAAATTGGCTCAGATGTGATCATGGATTCTTCAGCCTAATGTCTAACTGGTGCCCTATTTCATATTCTGTAGAAAAAAAAATCTCTGACCTCTCATCATTCTAAAATTCTCTGAAACATTATTATGATAAATCCATATCCATTTTTATTTTCTCTTTATGTAAATACATACTGTCATCCTTGGTATTTTTGGTATTAGCTAGAGATTTTTTATTATGGTTCTGTGTCTTTATTCAGGCAAGAAAAGGAACTGAATGTGAGACCTCTGTTCTTACTCAAAGGCCTGGAACAGGGAGTCCAGCTTCAGGACTGGTGGAGCAGTCCCACTGTTACGGCTTGGCACATTGGGTTAAAGGTCCCATCACAAGCTTCAGAAGTAATACCAATCAATGTCAGACACACAGAAATACCTTAGCCAAAATTACAGGGTTCAGTGGTCTTTCTCGTACATAATTAAAGCAAACAATCATCCAGCCAATCTGCAAGAAGTCTTTTAATCAGAAAAAAAACCCTCAATCCTTATTAGCAATCACCTTGTCATATAAAATATTTGCTATTGCTTAAGAATGACAGAAGTGGAAAAATCCACTGGGACTTAGATGCAAAAAGCTGGCCGATATTCACATCTGGAGCTCTTTTACAACTCAAGCTGCATTTTTTGAAATTATTTTCCTTCTTTTAAAAGAGGGCAGCGATGTGAGTTATCTGAAGACTGTGACATTTCTTCCAAGATAAGTAGCATCTTACAGCCAGTACAGTTGTTTGCATATTCTGTTTAACCAGCAGGATTCTTCCTAAAGTCTTCAGAAGTGGATTTTGGTTTTTTTCTTAAGTGACATTCTGGATTTGAATACCTCCGTTTTTATCTCAAGGCACACTGGAACAACAAAAGCTATAGCTGACAAGAATGGAGCAACTTCCCTACAAGATCTATAACCCTGGACTTTTGGAGAAGCTAAGGCATCCAAAAGCAATGGACACCCTTCAAAAGCATGTACATAATCAAATGCTCATAGATCAAACTGTGCTTACCTTGCAAATATTAATTTTGTTCAACTAAGCATCGCAATTAATGTCCAAATGTTGGAGTTATCCAACACAATTAAGACAGCATCAAGACAGTCATAAAATCATAACTCAGTACATGAAGGACTAGTAACTTAAAATGCATCCCTTCTAATCGCCCAAGGGTTATGGTGTTATGGGCTATGGCTGTGTGGGGATTTGCCTGTCTGGAGCACAACGAGGTCCCACAGTTTCGCTTGCAGAGTTGTCTACGGACCAAGCACAAATACAGATGCCACGATACGCAAGCGGTTGTGCTGACCCTGGGAAGTGTCCCTACCCTGCACCTGAGGAGAGCACAGCAAAGGGCTCGCCCGCACCTGCAGGTCCCCAAGCCCCGCCAGCTCAGGCTGAAGGGGGTGATCTTCCCCTGGTTTTTATCGCAGCCTCACAGCCTCGCTCAGCGGAGGGGATATCCCTGCTGCATCCCTCCTTCCGCCGCCCTGCTCCCGGGAGCGGAGCTGCGGGAGGCCGCTCCACGCTGCCGCCCTCCACCGGGGCCTGCGTCCCGCAGGCCGCCGAGCTAATGGCGGCCGGGAGCCTCCCCCAGCGCCCTGCCCGTGACTCGCTTCCTCCAGCGGACGGGAACTGGGCGGAGTGAGCGGCCCCGGCCCCGCCAGCGGAGCCGTCCGGCCGTGCCCGGTGCCTGCAGAGCGCCGCGGCCGCCCCCGCGGGGCCGGAGGAAGGGAGGAGGGGAGGGAGGAGACGCCGCCGAGCCCCGCCGCCGGGGCGTGCCAGCGCCGCTCACCCCGCTCCTGCCAGGGCTCCGCCGCGCCGCACCACCAACATGCCCGCCGTCGACAAGCTCCTCCTGGAAGAGGCTCTGCAGGACAGTCCGCAGGTAGCGACCGCTGCCGGGACAGCCCGTCCGTGTGTTTTCGGTCGGTCGGTGTGACGCACCTGAGCGCTCTGAGGCGGGCTGGCGGCTGGCGAGGGCCGGGGAGCAGCGTCCCGTGGCGGGGAGAGGGGCGCCGGGGGCGGTGCGGGGAGGTGGCTCAGGGCGAGCTCGGCGGCCGGAGCCAGCGGGGATGCGCTGAGGCGGGCGGACGGCACCCGTGCGGCCGCGGGGGAGGTCTGGTGTCCCGAGGGGAGTTCGTCGGGGGAAAAGCAGGCAGAGTCTGTTCCTCGGGGTCTCCTGGGACGAGGGCTGTCCCCCAGGGCGGGGGGCACCGTGCCCTTTCTACTCAGCGCCCTTAGTGAAACTCCTGTGGCCTTTTCCTCGCACCGTCCCGTCTGGGTGCGCGCTCGGTGCTGTGAGGGTTGCCCTGAACGGCTGAGGTGTGTCGGGGAAGGACAGGTGGGCAGGGCTCGGTGCGCTGGCTTCCCCCGAAGGGAAAGGGACACCTGTGCGCTGTGAGTCACCTAGCCCCGCTGACAGAATGGGCTGGAGGAGTGTCACCGCCGGCGTCCCTGCTCCTCAAGGGCCGCAGTTCCCATACAGGAGCTCCCATGAGGACAAGTGAGGCGGATCCCACCGAAGATGACCTTCTGAAGGGATCAGAGGAACGAGGAGAGGCGGTCGCTGCCCTTCCTTCCCCGAGTGCAGGCAGGGCGGGAGGATGTTGCTCCTTTCGCCCCAGGGCAGCGCCCCGTGCCCCGCCGCCAGGAGCCGCGATGTGACACAGCTGCACAAGGGACCCTGGCACTGTGCAAGCCCCACAGAGAAGAACATGCCACGTCTTGATGTATTCAGGGTCTGGTTGAGTGGAAGAGAGAAGTAACAGGAAGGGGAAAGAATGGAAATTCTACGGAGGGATGCGGAAGGTGTGCTTGGAGACAAAGCGTGGTGCAGAGAGAGATACGAAAGTAACGGGTAAAGAACAAATGAGGGCAGGGTGGATCAGTATGGGTCCAGCTCCCAAGTAAATGTGTGTTGTAATCCTAACTTGTCTGCTGATGGATCAGGAGGAGGAATGAATAGGTAAGCTGTGGAGCAGATTGCTGCAAGGTGTTATAGAGTCTGTCATGAGACATTCTGAAGTGCACCTGTCAGGACTTAATGAGCCTTGCGTCTTATCTTAATTGCCTCATTTTATCTTGTTCTTTTTTGTAATTTCATGAAATCCCATTCTAGTAAAAAGGATTTCCATCATCTCTTTGATGTGGTGTATTTGTAATCGTCCTTGGAATTTTAAACACTGCGCTGAAGGAAGTGATGTTACACCAAAGTCAGCCCTGCTTGGAGCGGAGGTTTGGACAAGGTGACCTGCAGAGTTCCTTACCAGCCTGAGCTTTTCTGTGTTCCACAGTTTACCAGAATGTGCCAGATTTATTATGGGTAGTTAGTAACATTTTTAGTGTTAACCTGTCTACTGCATCCTAAAGCCGAAGAAATTGATGTGCGGGAGAAGTGAACTAATTTACCTCTTCAGTCAACACTTCCCTCAATGATTAAAAATGTAACACTGACTGAAAGCAGCTGAACAATGCACTGAACTGGATTTGGAGGTCGTCATATTTCCTGTGTCCTGAAATGAAGGCTGTCAGCGTCTCCTTTGCAATCAGTGGAATACCAGGCAACACATAAACTTGAGCATTGGCAGGATGTTTTGCCTTGATTTGGTCATTGCTTTCTCTTTAAGCTCTACAACTTTCAGAGGGAGAGACATTGTTTAATTTATATAATGTCCCAGTGTTGCTAAAACATATTCTTTTGATGCAAGGAAGCAGGAGTGGGTTTTTTCAGTCTTTTCTATTTTTATGACTTTTTTCAATGGGGGGAACTTTAGATTCACGAAGTCAGGGCAAAACATTAGTCTCTGTTCCACAGAAATAAGCAACATAGCATCTTTATAGGATCATTTACTTCTGTGAGAAGGAGCCTGATTCTCCTCTGCTCTGTGTAGTCACAGGAGTGCAAAGGGATGGTGAAATGAGGCTGTAACCTCACTTTTTATAATCTGTGGAAGTATGTGGTTTACATGCAAGACCAAGGAGAATTATGCCAAAGTTATTTCTTCAACAGGTTTCTGGAACTTGGTTTATCTCTACTCATCGATAGAGTACTTTTCTCTTGATTTGTCTCCAGACACTGGCTGAAAGATGCCATAAGAAGTGTCTTAATTTTGAGGTGTTTGGCTACAAAATAGAGAACAAATCATGTCAGCAGTCATGCTAAAATCAAGAGAAGTACTTACATGAAGCTAGAAATTATCTTTCCAGAAGCTGAGATAATGTGAATAATGGGGCCTCCTAAATGTTAGCTTAATATTTGGATTATTGGTTTATTTCAGCAGCATTAGCTGCTATTCCAAAATTTATCAAAACGGCAACAAAGAAAATACACGCATCTTGGTATTTTGTTGCAGTGAATTTTGTATGGTATTCTTAAATGTTAGAGTTTCCAAGAATAACTTCCAAACTGTCTGAATCATTTATTGTTTTTATTATTTTTGAACAATGTGCTAATAACAGAGGCCAAGACTTTCAGAAGTTGGTTCCTGGAGCTGGTATACCTCAAGCCATATTTAGACAAATGAAAAATCTGAGCCCGCAAAAATTCAGTAAAGTTTACAAATGTAGTTGACATTCCTGTATTTGGGAACCTTTTCCAGCAGGACGAAGTGTGTGATTTGTGGCCTACTTCAGGCAATTTCTTTATAACTTTTGAGCTTTGGCTTGATAAACATTATGTCAAGTTTTATAATTTTTGCTTTCCCCAGATTTATTTTTTCACCATCTTTGTACCCTGTACTTTTTACGTTCCTTTGTAACACAGCTTGAGCACTGTATAGATACAAGATATTTTATTGACATTATTTTGCTCGTTTCAATACATCATTGAAAACAAAACAGAAACCAGATATTTTTGAAAATCAGTATGTTTTCAGTTACTGAAATAATATCTTAGTGTGGAAAACTCTTGAAATCATGCTGCTGTCCTTACCAGGGGAGTTTTGTACAAAGGTCCTTTAAACATTTGGGTTCTTGGTATCTGTTTCATCGACTTGGACTTCTCTCCATTCTCTGGTTTTTATGTTCACTTTATTTGAAAACAATACTTTGTAATGCGTATTCCCTTACATGCTAGGATCTCAAACTAGCTTCCCAAACTGCCAGCATCTCTCAGGTAGGAAGTGTTGTAGCAACTGAGCACATCAGCAGAGTGAACTGCTGAGAGCTTTTAAAGTTACTCAGAGTAAGAAGGTACCAAAGAGAACCCAAAGACTGACTCCCAGGTCACGTATTTTAACTGCTGAGCAGCACTAGTTTCTGGCTTAGATACTTCTCAGCAGAGATGGAAAGATAGTTAATCACAGGTCAGGATTCTTGAAGGATGCTGGTGCTGACTTTTTCAGGACAAGAAAGTTTGGGCAGTGAGTTTTGCAGAGAAGAATAAATGCCTTAGGGAAGTGCACGTGCCTTCTGTTAAAATAGTGGAGTACCTTAAAACTTTGAAAATAAATTTCCCAAATTCAATCCTGGATGCTTCAGGTCGATTAGAGATTCCTGTAGTAGGAGGATAAATAAAGCACTTGCTCTTTTACAGGACTGACATGTCTATGAAAGTACTGGAGTTTATGTATGCCCCTCATGTAAGCAGATGAAGCTCATTAATGTCATACGAGTTAGCTGTACAGATGGAGAGACATTTCCAGTTAGCCTCAAATAGATTGGATTTATCAAAGCTAAGACTAAGTATGGATCATGATTTTGTTAAAGGGACAGTCTTTCCTCTTTAATTATTGTAAAGATCTAGCAAATTCTGGAGCCCAGCATTATTCTGAAATGTCTTTTCTTTCCCTCTCGGGAGCTGTTTCAGCAACATAATTCTTTATTCCTGATGATCGCACCAAAACAAACCAAGGGAATTTGTTTAAGGTAACGCAAATTCTTCCTTCCCCTTCCAGCTTGCTGACAAGGATGAGTTAGCAGAGTGAAGAAAGGACAGGGTATCTCCAAGTGGGTGTATCCTTGTGTGCCTCTTGGAGATGAACACTCAGTTGTTTGGTCCAGTGACATCAGCTCGCTTTGGCCTTGGCCCCTTAAGAATTGCTCAAGACAGTAGGGAGTGAACAACAGAGTGTAAATTATCTCACTGGAAAGGGGTGCTTTCAGTGCAGTCTGACACTGGAGAAGTAAAATGAGCAAGCTGTGGTGTTTGACCCCCAGTCCTTAACGTGGTTTGAATTACTGTTGTCAGCAGGAAGATACTCAGGATTTTTTACATTCCTAATTATGTTGGAAGGACCGTCTATTAGTTGGAACAAGAGCCTGGGAGTCAGGATGTGGCCATAACATTATATCACTTTGACTCTTTGTGCCTCAGTTCCTATCCTTAATAAAAGAACTGATGTTCCATGTGTTTAGTGATTCTGAATAAACAGAATCGTGCAAGTCAAGGGCATGTTATTTCTGATGGATTTTTACTTTTTACTGGCATCTCTTTGTAGTTGTTTATGGTTCTTTTTAATATTTCCACTCAGGACTAAAAACTGTTTGCTTTTTTTTTCTTTCATTGAAGACTCGTTCTTTGCTCAGTGTCTTTGAAGAAGATGCAGGAACCCTTACTGAATACACAAATCAGTTGCTTCAGGCAATGCAACGAGTCTATGGTGCCCAGGTAATTTTACATTTCTATTTCTTTTGTTCAATGTGGAGTAGAAGATAAATTGCTATTATGATGCTATTTATTACATTAAAGTTGCTAAGTACATGTACCTTCTGTGGTTTAAGAGGAGTTGTGGGTGTTTTTCATCTGATAGCTGAACCTCTTCCTGCCTTGATGCTCAGAAAACTCGTATTTATGAAAAAAAAGTTATTTACTGTGTCTCCAAATAATTAATCAAAGTAAAATTGTGCTGTGTCCTTACCTTTTGGGGGGGCCAGCCATGACAAAATTGCTTGCCAAAATGTAGACACAATTCCCAGGTCTGCACACTGACTTTAGGCACCTAACTTTGATGCTGTGACTCACCTCGGGGAGGGAACTGCCCATGTCCATTGATTACAGAGCAGATGTGCACTTTGGGTCATACTAAAGTCAAGTGCCTACAGTAGCTGAGAAAAAAAAAATGAGCTGGATCAGGAAAAATAACATTTTCTAGAGTGTTTACATGACCTAGATGACTAAATCCCTTTGAAAGTAAAACCTGTATGAGAAATTATATCCAGTGCTTTGGAAAATGTAAATCTGAGTGATTTTCAGTGCAGCTGATTCCCATGTGCATAAAATTAGGTATTTCAAAATGCCATATCTGGGTCTTTAAAGACATAACACAATGTCTCATGGAAGTTTAGCAAGTATTTATGTAGGTTAAATTCCTGGGTACACTAGAAACAACTTTTCTATTCTTAAACCAGTAAATCACAGTACACAGAGAGATTAAGAGCTATGGGGTATTTTGAATTTCCCTGAAGAGTGCCTGATCCTTACATTATTATAAATCAGCTCAGCTATGAGTCAACTGCAAGTGTATGTCCATTTGGTGGAATTGCTGTTTGGGTGACTGATGGTTTGACAGTGAAGAACCATTTCTCCAGGATCTGTCTGCCTATACCTGGAGGATACAGCTTTGGAGAGCTTCAAAGTTTTCATGTCCTGGATGTTGTGGAAATGCAGAGCAGCCAGCAGTGCTTAGGTACATAGGAAATGATGCAGGGCATGGCCCAGGGAGGGCTCGAGAGGTGACATGAAATCAGCACTGAAAGTCAGGGATAGGCATTTTGATAGTCATGGTTCTTTAAGAGTAACAAAGAGCAGGGGCACATTGAGTGGTAGGAATCTGACAGCAAAGACTGGGTAGGCTTGAAATGGATGAGGAAGGGAATCAGGAGATAAATCTGATTTTCAATGTCCAGCTTGTGGGCTGCATGCCCCTTTCTGCTGATAATGACGTTTTAGGATGTCTTTTTAGGAAGTGCTTGCTCTGGTCTGTGATTCAAGAAAAAAAAAGCTTTTTCTGCTTTTGTTTGCCTCTTCCTTTTCATCTTGGTTTTTAGCCTTCTCCATTTCTGTTTCACCACAATTACAACATTTCCTTTTTCTTCTCATTGTCTCAGTATATTTACCTGTCAGTATTTTGCAGTACTACTGAGTCTACTTCATTTCTCTAGCACTTTTTGGCCACTTCTTTCCTGAGCACTGCTTTAGTTTGATGTAAATATTCAGTCATTTGTGAATATTGGATATATTCTTTGAAATAGGTCTTTGGAGTTTGATGCAATTTTGAGATGTAGAAATAGAAGGGTAATGCTGAATTGCCTACTAAACATAAATGGACAGTTAAGAAAAATGTTTGTGCTATTTCTTGGCTGCCTAATCACAACTTGACAGAGAAAGAAAGCGCTTTTGTTGCTGTGTTATCTGGGCCTCAGTAGCAGGTGTTGCCAACTCCGTAAAAGCTGAGAGTATTGAGAAACCTTCTGAATTTGCCTTTTTATTTCCCTGGCTTAAATTTTATCTCTGCAAAGTCAAATTTTCTCTTTGCAAAGTCATTGTCATCTCCTGCTCTGATTTCCATATCTATAAGATAGGAGTTACAGTTACTGACCTACTTTAAACCAATGACCATAAAATGACTGGGATCACTGTCATGACAGTCAGACAAAGCAGCAGTGGTTGAGACTGGTTGTACCAGTCTCCAGTACTGAAAATTCAGGGTTTATGCCCTCTCTAAACACTTATGACAGTTTACAAAAATGTTAATTTTGTTTTCTTCCGTAGTTTTTCTTCTGAACTTTAACATTTCTCAGATGTCTTAACCATGTTTTCAAGGTTTTTTTTGGGCTAGCTTACTAGAAGTTTGGTGTTTCTTGTGATGAAAACTCAGATTTTCATGTAATTCAAACCACTGTGGCTTGTGATCAAATAACAACAGTTAACATTGCTTCTGTGCAAAGTCACAGGGGAGTAGCAATTAGTACCAACTGCATGCTGTTAATTAACCATGTGGATGTATGCTTATAGCTGTCTATAGCTGTCTCAGAACACTGCTCTGTGTGGAGAGCCACACTAAATTTGTAAAGTGACTGCTCAAACTGCTTTAAGCACTTGGATCAGTGCATTTGAAAGAAGTGTGAAAAAGAAATACTTGGCCATATTTTTTAAAGAAACACTTAGGAAAATGGGAATCCTTTTAAACATCTTTTCAGACTTCCATGTGTTCAAGCAGGACTTTAAAAAGAGTGTAAGGAGGGATGCGCAGCATCCCGTGCAGCAGTGGCTCTGTTTCCTGCGCTGCAGCTGGGTGATGCATGGGTAGCAGATTGCCCTGGCTGCAGGGCCCTCGGTGCTTTACAAGCCTCTGGTTGCCTTGCAGGATGAGGACATTGCTCTCACCTTCCTGGGCACCCACACCACATGGGATCAGGTGGTGACTCTTCTGCACATGGAGCTCTTCAGTGAGAAAGGGGCTGTGATGCTACAAGGCAGATGCAGTGTGCAATGCCCTGATAGAGGAGAAGTCACAGGACCCAAAAGCAGTACTTAAGGAGTGAGGTTGCCCTGGTGCCCTGATTAAGAAGTCACAGAACCCAAAAGTAGCACTGGAGGAGTGAGGTTTGGTTGATCTGGCAAACCAATGTGATTACATACAATAAAGCACGGTGGAGCATTTTTATGTTTGTCAAATAAACCACACCTGTGTGAATACATATTCTGCTTCCTGCTGTAGGTGTCCCAGCTGTGCTGCAGTACCCTGAAATAGTTACCACAGCAGTGGTCTTATACAGGAACTCTTCCTTATAGAGTTTATCCCTGTAGTGCGTCCTTCTTGCATGCAAGCCCTGATGTTGCATCTGACATTACTGCTGGTTTCTGTGAATGTTGTGTTTGTCTGGATGTTTTAGTTCCTGATAAATGAAAAATATTATAAGGCAGCAGCAAACAAGGACTGTTGGAAAATGTAATTCGCTTAATTTACAATGCTGAGATTCTTGCAATGGTGTATGAGCAAAGTGTGCCCAGTTTACCTTCCTGACCACTGTCGTAGTAAATTGTTTTCAGAGCTTTACTATCATTTCCAGTTCTCCATCAGGCTCTAGAAATGTCTGATCTGGGAATCAAAATGCCTTTAGTAAATTTAGGAGACTCTTGTGTCTCTATCTTAGAAGGAATAAACAGTTGAGCGGGCGAGAGTAAGACGCAATATTTTGTCATTGTAAAGAGATTTCATCTCATGAGTCCTGGCAAACCTGTCTAGATACAGGGGTAGTGATGTCAGGAGTAAAAAGAAACACATGTTGTCTTTATCAATACATTTGGAGAGGGAATACCATGGGAATTGTGAAGCATGATCTTGTTCAGCATCTCTGTGAGCAATTGTCTTGTGATTCCAGAGGCGCAGAGGCAAAGCAGCAACAACCTCTGGAGCTTACTGCCTTTTTACATCCAGACTCTTGGAGAAACTCCTTAACTCCAAACAGTTATGGAATAGTCTTGGTTTATAGATACCACATTACATGGGTGTCAGGACAGCTTGAATCTGTCGAGCCATTTTAAGTAGTGCTTTGTAAGTGTTACTTCTCTCTGCAAATTCATGGTTCCTCGTGTCTGCATTGTTCAGCAGTGCTGCTTGTTTGATTTTCCTGTGTATTGCCTTCAGAAGGCTGTAACTCGATAGGTGGATGTCAGGCTCTTTAGGCTATGCATGGACTTTCATGTTTATTATGTTGCATAGCTAACCCTGGGTGCTGAGAGTTCTTGCTTAATTAGCAAGTAAGCAGTGATACAGCTTTTCTTTTAATTGTTTTCTTTTCATGTCTAAGGGAACAAATTTGTTGCCTTTTCAAATTATACGACCCTTTTTTTCCTAAAACATTTTAATGGAACAAAAATTAAGTTAGAATTTTATAAACTTTTAGTTCAACATAGAGAAGGTTCAACAGAGTGTTAGAATGGGACAAACATTTGCAATAAATTACAGTTGTCATCACTGATTTCTGTGAAATACTGTATGTATTATTATTCCATAGTCGTAAGTTTGCATCATATCTCTTACCTTCCTGAGGCATACTCACCTTATATGAATGTCATTGTCTATGTCATTTGCTGACAGAGATGAGCAGAAGATTACCACGTGAGAACTAATATATTTACAAAGGCATGGGAGTTGGGTTTAGTACTGCCTATGAAGTCAGCATTGTCACCGTGCCTGGAAGCAAGTTAACATTGTGCTAAGGAGGATCTGGAGATCTGAGGCAGCGTAAATGTATGGATACCCTGCTGATAGTAGTTGTTTTGACAGAAGAGATTCTTTCTGTACTGAGCTAACCACCCTATTGTAGCTGCTCTCGGTGTTTTTCAGCAGGGCTTTGACTGGTGGCTTTTATTCCTTGGAGCTATTGGATGATCCTTTGCTGAGCTGTTCCCATTTGTAAGGATGGAAAGCCATGCTGTGAGTCAGCACCAGGGCAAGCCATATGTTAGCCTGATCTTGTAAAGTGCTGTGCAGCCTGAGCACCCCAGTGAGGCTTAGCTTCTGCAGCCCTGGGTTCACATTTCCAAGCCATTTAATATGCAAACCTTAGCCTGTGGGACCGTGCCATTTACTAGATTGCTGGATAATTCTGTGTTGTAGGTAAGCATATGTAAATAGAGCTGCCTAAAACTGTTGTATCAAGACACAGTTCTTTCTGTGCTGTGTCTGACTTTGAAGGTAAATGTGTGCTGAGTTCTGAAGGGGTGGACAGGCTGCAGCTACCTCATGGGTCTTCCACTTCAACCACATTCCTGGGGCTTTTTTCTCTTTGATGAGGCATCAAGTTTTCCCAGATGTAAGCCAAAATATATTGTGTGTCATTCGGTGTCTATACAGAGTGCATGGACAAATACCTTTACCAGTGTCATACTTGTTTATATGAAGCAGCCTTTGGCAGTTCTGTGTTGCAGTTTTAAAAATGCCAACTGTAGCTGGAGTAGGACAGTTGCTTTGCAGAAAGCTTCATTATATTGGGATTTGAACTGGGCATGCTGGAATAGTTCTGTGTCTTTAGAAGTTAATTTATAGCTCAACTTAATCCTTTACATGCCCTCAAATCTGTAGTTTGTTAGACAACTGTCTACAGAAATACCTTCGGATTTCATCAGATTAGTCCTCAGAGTTTATTTTGGAAAAATACAGAGATCCTAAAAATGGATGGACTGCATCACTGGGAAATTGTAAATGGCATGAATATTTTAATGCAGAGGTTGTAGAAAAATCAGTCTCTTCTGATGATATGAACAGCTTAGTGAATAAAAGTGATAATGAAGAAGGTGGAATCAGCTGCAAGTCTTTGCTCTGGGCACTAACTCAGAAAATAAGCTGGACGTTTTTTTTTCACCCCTGGCTTATTTGAAGGCTGGGTCAGGTATTGAAGTAACTTGAAAATTAAACAGTATTTTTAAATCAGCTGTTTTTCATTTTGGGTAGATTAATTCTAGATTCAAGCCACCACTTCCATTACCTTATCCATTTGAACTAGACTCCTAGAAATCTATTCCTAGGGCTATCATGCAAGCCAGGGTTAAAGAAAAGGGAAAAAAAAAACCACATCTGCAATCACTACTTATTTCATTATACTTGTTTGCGTAAAGTTTTTTCTTTCTTCTGGTACACTTTTTTATATTAATGCTGCAGAGATGTCTTCCCTGTTAAATAAAACCATCTAGTGTGAAGGAATGTATTTGTATGGCCCAATACTGGCTAAGTTTGCCTTCATTTAGAAGGCTTCAATTTATGTTTGGGATTTTATTGAGTTTTTGCTTGATATATTGTCTCATTCATAGCTCCCCCACTCCATAAATGCGTGATGAATTCTGAAATGTCAAGAAAATGTGGAAGAGATGTGGAGTCAGGAATGTATTGTAGCTTTTCTTTTGCTGTGGTGTATTGAATTGCGGTCACTTCAGGAGACAGGACATCAGTGTTGCTGTATCCATGGGAAAATGCCTTGGAAATAGATTAAAACCTGTTAAAATAATTTGCCTGGATTTAGTGGATCTGTCAATTGAAGCAACGCAAATAACTTCTAAGTCTTGGAACTGAATGGCAGCAGGGCAGGGGGAGGGGAAAAGGCTGATTAGGAAGAAATGGGAGGGGGATTAAACCAAACTTTCCCAGATTAGTATGCTTAGCAATGCAGTATTACCACTAGGTCAGCAGAGCACTTTGCCTGCTTCCTGTTCATTATGCAATGGACTGTGTTTCAACTTGCTAGCTTAACTTGATTTGTTTACAGTTTTGGGGTGTGTTTTGTTTTGATTTTTGTTTGGGTTTTTTTTTCCCAAATGATACAGTTAATGATTTTGTACCTCTAATGGGAACTAAGTCTAGCAGGTGTTGGGAGGGAGGATGAAGGACCCAGGATTCATTTTTCCACATGCGTAGGGATTGAGGATTGAGTAACAAGTTTGTGGTGTTCTGACACAAAGAACTGAGACAATAAATGAAAAATGTGACCAGCTGGCAGTAGTGGGTTGTGAGTAATACATGGAACTGTTGTCCCCAAATCAGCCTAAAATCCCAAAGTAAGTTTTGTGTCAGGCACGTCTCTCAATTTGTTCTGTATCTGGAGTAGTAGGCTATGAATGTCTGCTTGAGGTCTGTAATTAACTGTTGTCACCTGATTGTCCCATTATCCTGTCCCATATCCTGTCCCATTATCCTGTCACATACTGGAGATCACTCCTGGGGAGTAGTAATCCCTATAAAATGCTTACTTCACACATCTCTTTACACTGCCCATCTTCAAACTTCCCAACACACGAGTAGTAATGCCCTTTGAATATTAAGTGAGGAAATTGAGGATTGAGTCTAAAAACCAAACTGGCAGAAGCCTTGTGGATGGTGGACACAAAGGAACAGGATGTCTTTGGCCAGGGTTCTTTAGGTGTTGGGGATTTTGGTTTGGTTTTTTTATCAGCCCATTATTCTGAAGCTTCTTTTAGTTTAGGAAATTTAAGCCAGAAGCATGTATTCTCTGGATTCAGAGCAGGTCACAAAACTGCAGAGTTTGCAGGAATAAGTAAATTGAAACAAACAGGGAAAAGAGGCGTGTTTCTGACACTTGATTTATTTCAGAAGAGTTCTCTCACCCTGATCCAGCTGTACAGCTTTTCAGTTGGCTTTCAGTACCTGTGTGAGGACTTAGAGCTGGGTAAGAGCTGCAAGAACACTATCTTTGAGGTTGTGTTTATGAAAAAGATGCCAGGTCTGAGAACCTCTGCTTCTTTTCGTAATCTTAATTTTCTCCCACATGCATACAAACCCTTTTAATGTCTTCTGTATACTTGCAGGGAGTCCTGTCCTCCCTGTCATAAACTCATTGCTTGCTAGCTCCCACTTTGAAGGTGGCAAAGTCTCTCTGGTGTTCTTACTGCTTGGGGGCAGATAATTTAGGCTCATTCATATTCATGTCTGACCCCTTAACAGGATTTGGTTTTTTTCATTATAAGGCAGAACATCCTTTTCCATCCTCTGCCTTGGGAAATGCTTAAATACCAAGTATTTGTGTAAAGGAAAAAACCTACATAATCTGCATAATCAACCTGCAAATCTTACAGGAATCATTGGCATTATTGTTGTGTGAAAGTGTGGTCCTTATTACTAGTTGGGCTGAGACAAGAAATAAGACTAATCCATCACTGTGAAGTGAGAATAGTCATGGGGTGTGGATGATCCAAGCATAGGCCCACATTCTCTCAGCTCTGGACTCCTGTTGGTACCTCAGAAGGCCTCTGCTGTGCCATCTCCTCCTGCCTCTGAGTGTTACCACCACGGTTTTAAAATGGTCAAAATTATCTCATTCAACTTTTCCTGTCATGTGCTCACATGCAGTTGCTGGTACCTAGGCCGTGGCTGCTTTGGTTTGACTTTTTTTATTTCCCTGAGCACTTGGGCACACTTGAACGCTGACTGAATGTTGGGCCCTGCTGCCCATATGAAGTCCTGGCATGCCAAGGCGGTGCAGAAGCACCGGGCTGTAATGCAGTATGTCACAGGTGGCAGCAGGCCAAAGCAAAGGGTGTTTCAGGCTCTCTGGCCCAGATAGTTCTCTGTGCTGGGCTCTTCTTGCTCAGAATGACAAGGGACAATAAGAGAGCACACAAGCTCTGTCCCAGTTTTAATGGTTTTCTGTGTCAGCCCTAGTATAAAGGGTTCAGAGATTGTTCCTAGTTTTACAAACTCTCTATGGCCTTATATATTTGGAGACAGGAATAGTTTTTTAAGGTTTAAAATTAAAGTTATTAGTTTTTTGCACTTCTGAGCATGAGAAGGATCTGATAGGGGTTAAGACCGATGTCAGTTACCCCCTTCCCTTTTTGCTTTTATTCTTGTTGTAAGTCCTTGTTGACAAATCAGGGACAGAGCAGTTGATATGCTAGTGTTAGGAATACATTGATTAATGTATTAATTACTTGGTTCTTTTCAACCAAGTGCTTGTCTGGTTTTTCCAGCTGCCAAGTAAAATATACCTTCCCTACAAATCTTACCTGATGTAAGCACAACTTACATGCATGTGTACTTTCAGAAGGAGAGAGATGTGCTGGTTTGTGCTCCTGTAGCCACTTACAATGCTGTAGTTACATTGGTACATTCCCTGAGCATGACTGCATTATGGAGGCACATCTGCTGGTTCACCTTATTGATGTAGATTTTGGGGGAAAATGATTATGTATGAAACATTCTTGTGCTGGTATGGCAGCCTACGTGTTTGAGGTTGTTCTAGTTTTTGTTATTTTCTTGTGGTGGGGGAAACCCAAGCCTCAAACCAAACTCCCCAAATCTTTGCTCTATTCAAAGTAGTTAAACTATAGTAGTTTAGTATAGTAGTTAAACTATAAACTAAATTATGTACCTCTTACTTCTGCTTTTCTGTTGTCATGGTTTAAGCTCAGCTGGAAGTTCTGGCAGTCCTATTTCTGGGGCTTGCTCAACCCCATTTCTGTCCCACTCACCCCAGTGGAATGGGGAGGAGAATCAAAGTAAAACTTGTATTTTGAGATAAAAGAAGTTTAATAATTGAAAATAAAGCAAAATACAATAATAATGGTAAATTACAATAATGATAATAAAAAGGAAAAAAAATGTGATGTGCATTGCAATTGTTCACCACCCACTAATTGATACAAGAGCTCCCTTCCTGAACCCAGACTGGTTTTCCTTTAAGATACTTGTCCTAATTTATTTACTGGGCACAATGGTCCATGGTGTGGAATATCCCTTTGGTCTTTTGGGTTGTCTCTCCCAGCTGTGCTCCCTCCCAGTTTCTTTTGAGTGCCCTCTCACTGGCCAAGCTTGAGAAAAAGGGAAAAAAAATCCTTTACTTAGGATAAATGAAACTTTACAAAAATCCAAATCATCAGTGTGTTATCAGCACCATTCTTACTCTGAATCCAAAACACAGCACTCTAACAGCTTCTGAGAAGAAATTAACTCTATCCTAACTGAAAGCAGGACATGTGTGCAGGTATTCTGGGATTTGCTGTTTGCACACAGCTGAATGTTTGTGTAAGCAGTGTCAGATTCAGTCAAGAAGCTGGTAACAAAGTAGTGTTAACAGTAGCACTAGGGACCTTTCATTATTTCTGTTAACATGTCATTTTTGTTTGTAGAATGAAATGTGTCTTGCCACACAGCAGCTTTCAAAGCAGCTCCTTGCCTATGAAAAGCAGGTATGTTCAGCACATGACTTTGATTTCTTTTCTGCCTCAACACTTGTGAAGAGCTCTGTAAACACTGTGTTCTCTGGAAGTGCTCAGTGCATTTGCTTTACTTGGTTTCATGTGAATGCAGTTGTGAATTTCCCCAGGATGTTCAAGTGAGTTGGGTAATTTCTGAGAATCTTAAGAAAAGAACCAAGCAAAGAAGAATCTTAATAAAAGAGCCAAGCAAATTTAAAAAAAAACAACCCAAAAGGTGCAAAATCTGAATTAATAAATTTATGAAGATACCAGTCAGTTTGCTTCAGTTCTATGACTTTAAAATTAGTATAATAAGAATGAGTATAATAAGAATTGACAATTTAACACAGTAAGTGCAGGGTAAAAAGATGTATATTAATGAGTTTCTGTTTTTATATTTATTATTACCATTTGTTGCATTTTGTAGAAATACTCATTAGCTTTGTAGTAAAACATGTGTTGTATTTTATGTATTTTATATTCATCTTTACTGATTTATGGACCAAATGTGTGTTTCTATTTCCAGCATTTTGCCTTAGGTAAAGGAGATGAAGAAGTGATATCCACCCTCCATTATTTTTCAAAAGTTGTGGATGAGGTAACTTGAATTGCTAATATTCTCTTTTTACAATACACAATATTAGTGGGGGGTTTTTTGTGTCTCTTCTTTTGATTCCCACTCAAGGCTAGATTGTGCTTGGCTTTTAGAGTAATTTCATTCTGGATAAGAAAGTTTGATACCACCCTTCCATAATGGTTAGAGATGTTTCTGTGGCTTCATCCCATATTCTATCCTCAGAGCAAAGCTGAACTTCCTAAGGGAACTTAAAAAGAGACTAAAAAAGGATGTGTCATCTAGGCAGGGGCAATCTTTTATTTAATTCCATATTAAAATTACACATTTCTAAGCTTTAAACACTGCAGTTTGAGCCAAAACTTGCCAGGTATGGATGCTGGACAGCCGTGAATTGGTAGAGTTGCAGTTTAGCTGCTGTGAGATCATGCAGAATCCAGAGATGTCTGGGGAAGGCTGCAGTACTGTGTGGTGAAGACAGTAAAGCTGTGTGCAGTGAATGCCTCCACACCCTGGAGGTTGCTGCTAAGTAGTGGGAGTGTTTGCAAATGCTTTTGTTAGACCTGCCCATGTAACATTTCAATATGGCCCTGGTATCTAGGTCCTTCTAGCTTAAGTTTCATTTGTCACAGCAATCTTTCTGCTGTGAGCAGTGCTGTGCTGTCAGAAAAGTCTGTTCTCATTGGTCTGCTTCCAACTTTGTCTAAGAAGGCAAAAGGCTGTACTGAGGTCTGCTGTTCGGGAGAGGAGACAGGGTTGTGGGACGAAAAGTAAGTTAAAAATTTTAGAGCCCGTGAATAACTCTAAGGATGTAGTGAGAGGAATCCCAAAGGTTTATTTTTTTTTTTTTAGGCTTTTCTTACTGCATGTGTGTTCTTGGGATACTAGAAAGGAGCATTTGTTATCACAAGTTTTGTAGTTGCTTATATGAACTCCAAATAGATCAAAGCAAGAACTTTCTCCTTCCCAGGTTTGAGAATGGTGCCATTTGGGGGCAGAAAGCTGAAAGCCTCTGCTCAGTTCTGTCAGTCACATTTTCCCTCACAAGAACTTGTTCCATTCCTTGGCCTCCTTTTCTGTGTGTTAGCTTCCCCTTGTGCTTATTTAATTGTCTGTTCTATCAGCATTAAGTTGTATTGTCTTGTGGGAAATCCTGACTTCATCTTTACTTGCATGAGACTGCCTGGAGGTATCCAGGACACTGAGAAAACAGGCAGGATGTCACTTCATCACCCTCCTAGTGCTCCAGCAGTGTGATTGATAGCTGTCCTACCTGCACCCATCTCATATTCTTAGCATGCCACTGTTGACATGAAAGCCTTGCCTGCCTTCATCCTATATTGTGTCACATGGGTGCTTTTAAACAGCTGAGTGCTGAAGTGTAGAAACACTTGCAAAACCATCAGTGGGAAACTGCTGTGGAGGTAAAATATTTGAGTGGGACCTTTCATTGTGGTTGCCCCCTGTTGTGGTTGTGTCCTGGTTAACCCTTGTTCGTGGGAAGACTGTAGTTGTCTGTTGACTGTTGGTGGTGGGGCTGTAACTCCATGGCATTGAGACTTAACAAAAACAGGTTAATAAAGGATAATTACAGTTCAAATCCTGTTGGGTTAAGCATTAGAATAGTCAAATGAATTGCCCTAATCCGTTATGTGGGAACTGAAAAGTTCTTGGATCCTTGGGAAATACCAGGCAGGAATGAAGCATTTAGGGAGACGTCCCCATCTGTCTCAGATACTTTAAGAAATGTATTTTAAACACTGAAGTACATTATATCCACTGGGCACAAATGGCTGGTGTGTTTTGATGTTCTGTGGTCTGGGTTTTTATTTACGTTGTGTCTTAGAACAATTCTCTGTTTCAGCTCAATATTCTTCATTCTGAACTGGCAAAACAACTTGCAGATACAATGGTTCTCCCAATAATACAATTTAGAGAAAAGGACCTCACAGGTAAAGTTTATTCTAAGTTTCAGTTTTCCTTATATGTTCCTTCTTGTTTATTTCATCATAAACTGAGACATAATGCCATGTATTAATTTGTTCTTTGATTATTCACAGGAAAGTTCTTGGGTTTTTTGGTTTTTTTTCTGCTACAGAATTTCACTGACAGGTGAATGCTTCTACTCAGACAAAACAAGTTCAAGTTCACCACATAACATTTTATGCACCATATGGTGCAAGTTTAAAAATACACAGCTTTGTTCTTTGTTGGGTCACTGTGCTTTTACAGCAGTGTAATTTCACTGAAGTCAATGATGTTATAATTGCCAGAAGGGAAATTTAGCCATGCAATGAGCTTGCAAACTGTATTTATTCCACTTCAGAAGTTTGGGGCTGTTTGACAAGCATAAGCAAGACTGTTGTTTTAACTTCAGAGAATAGTATATTCCCTACTTTTTAAGGCATCAGTCCTCTTTAAATCCTTGGCATGCAAGGGTAGTTCCGAGTTACCTGATTTCACCAATTTGGGATTTCATTGCTTAAACAACAAGGCAGTAACGCAAACATTTGATGTAATTTCAGAAGAAACAAGCTCATATTCAAGGTCAAGGACATTCTTACCTACTTATGCAACAGAAATTGGAGGTTTTGCAGCAGCATTTCCTTCTTTTCTCTTTTATTTTAAATCCCACTGCTCATTTCACTTGTCGCAGTCCCACTTATGGCCTTCATGACATCATTTTGATGTGAGACAAAACAACTACATCAAAATAAGGACTACTTTAAGTTCCTCAGTGTCTGATGGGAAATTGTGAATGCATCCAGGTGCCTATGTTAACGAATACATTCATTTTTCTTTCTCAGAGTGACAGCTTGCTCAATAAAATAAACTCACTCCACCCTTAATTAGTTTATCATATATTGTCAAATCTAAAGCAGAATTTGGATGGTAAGATGTTGATGCTATAAACACTTCTTCACCTCTTTCATCTGGCCTCAGAGATAGTAATTCTTTTTCCATAGTTATGGATTTTTCCCTCTTGTTCATTAAAAAATATACAAAAATGCATATCAAGCCTGCAACCAAAGCTTCAGTTGCTGCATGACAAAAAATGAAAGGTTCTTCAACTTCCCTGAATGTCAATTTTTTTTTATTATTCTATCCATCACTTTTTCTGATGCAGTCTGTAGAACAGCATTTTTAGTTGAGACCGGGCCACACTTGAATTTCATAGAGGGATTAAACAAGGAAGCAAGGAAGAATAACTGTGTTACTGTATTTACTTTTGATCCTGTTACATTGATACATTGAATATTGTAGAAACCTCTAGATTCAAGTTAGTTACAAGTGGAAAAATCTTCTATCTTTCTACATCTGAGTAATAATGAAGCATTCTGGGGAAAAAAATGATGGGAGCAAAACTGATTAATGAGAAGAGTGTTAAAAATAATCAGAGACCATGATGACATCCTACAATCTCCCCTTGGTATTTTCACAGTTGCATAATATCTGTTCTTGTAAATGTGCTTTCTTTGTAGCTTTTTTGAGAGAGTTTTGCCAGTTGCAGCATATGTTGGTGGGGACACTAAGAGTAGCTTGTGCCTGACACTTGTGAAGTTAAGTTGCCGGTTCAGTCTGTCTTCTCTCTATCTGTATCAGAATCTCACAGCCAGTGTTTGTAATGCAAGCTTCATACCCAGTAGTCAGGTGTGTTAGATACAGATTTCTTTGCACAGAGCAGCTTAGCAAAAACTTTTCCACACTGAGAAAAAATCATGTACAGCAATAAGGTTTTAGTTCATACATTCATGAGTCTTAAATTTCTTGGTATCACATAAGCACTGTCAGGTTGTTCAGAGCTGCTGATCTTGTATGATAGTGGTGGGTCTTTTGTCAGAATAAACATACTGAAATGGTGCTTCTTTGGAGATATGACACTGGCAGATAAGGCATCTTTCTCAGAGTGACAACTTGCTTAATAAAATAGACTCACTCCACCCTTAATTAGCTATCTGCCTATTCATTTCTCTAGCAGCTGATCTGGACAGGCACAGAAATGTATACATTTCTGCTGTGGAAGGGCTGGAGTGACTTGGGCAGTAAATATGCCATAAATGGTCTCAATTGAACCAAGTGATAACAGCTGGTTTTACTTGGAATGTTTGATTTCTCTTTTCCAGAAGTAAGCACACTGAAGGATCTCTTTGGCCTTGCTAGCAATGGTATGTGTCCCTGTTTTGTTTCTTTCTATTCATATGCAGCTGTTAGAGCAAAGAAGACATGTTTAATCTGTGCACATACACATCACATTTCTAAAAAAACAATAATATTCCTTGTCTACAGAACATGACGTGTCCATGGCAAAGTATAGCAGATTACCGAAAAGGAAAGAAAATGAAAAGGTAACAAATGTGAAAGGGAAAATAGAATGTTTTCATCAGCCATTCTGTCTGCATTGTTGTTGATTGTGAACTTTGGAGAGTTCATTGCTTAAATTCACAGTAGCTCAAGAATACTTGTGATTTCACTTCCAAGCAGACACAAAGCTTTTAAACATCAAGTCAGCAGTTGCACCTGTTTTCTCCAAGTTAGGCAAGTGATGAAATATTGTGCTCAACTAGAGTCCTTCAGATCCCTGGGAGCTTTTCAGATAGAAGCAATCCAAGTGACTATAAACAGCTTTATGTAGGCCTAGTGTTGTACAGCTGAAGTGGTAATGCAGTATCACTGAGGACAATTCATTGTGAACTGCCACAAAGCCTTGTGTCTGCTGTTCCTAAAGCATTCCATTTCTTCACATGTACCTTCCTGTTACCATACTCTGTATAGATTGTCATTCCACTGAACAATGCACATAACTCTCTTGGTGGGATTGCTCTACATTCCTCCTTCTTTGCCCACTGGACTGCTATTCTAAAATACATCCCTTTGTCAAAAAGTGTATGGCTGGCCCTGTCCTGAGAGTGAATCCGTTCTACAGGATGGTCCTTGAAAGGAAATGCTTTACGGAACACAATGTGATATGGCATACTGTGAATTATTTACCTCTGAATTCTGCACTGGCAGACTTGTGTTGTGATCTCAGCTGCAAATAAATTTCTTCCACAGATAGCTGGTTCAGATATTTAGTGGTGGTAGTTACACAGTTTGTAGTCACTGGGGCTCCCCAAATTCGTAAGTATTGTGACAGGAAAGGGCTTGAAGTACTTACTTTGGGTTTTTGATTTCCTTTCTTTGTTTCTCATCCTTCATTTTAACCTGGAGAAGTTCTGTAATGAGAGTGATTTAAAAATAACTTGAAAATGATCAGTAAATATATCCATATACACAGTAACACTGTCAACCTCTTTATCATTTTTTGTTCAGCTTAAGGCAGAAGTGGCAAAAGAAGTGGCAAATGCCAGAAGAAAGCAGCACCTTTCATCCTTGCAATATTACTGTGCCCTGAATGCTCTGCAGTACAGGAAGAGAGTGGCAATGATGGAACCTATGCTAGGATATACACGAGGACAGGTATTGACAGTAAAGTGTCTGTATCACTTAGACATGTTCCTGGGAAAAGGTGTAAAACATTGTAGTTCTGGATTTATTTTGAGAACTGACAAATTACAGTGAGGGTGGGGGGAAAACGATTTGCATTCAGCTTGCCTAGATTCTAACAACAGATTTTGTTTGTGGCAGACAGTTGATAGTTTAGATATTCAGGAAAGACACTAATGACAAGAAAATCCAATACACTTGTATGCAAAATCAGCCTAGGGTTAGTTTTTTCACAGCTGAGCTATCAGTGCAGTAGCATTTACTTCCACTGTTTACTCAGTCTGCACAAACTCTCCTATGTAGCAGTTCCCTTCCTGGCACATAATGTTCAGCATACTGATGAGGAGTGTGCAGGATGAGGAACAGAGCATGCTCTGGAGAGCTGGAAGGACAGAACAGTCAAGAGGATTGAGCATAAGGCTGGAAAATCCTTTTTCCAATTTTTCTTCTAACAACAGTTTGATAGAGTGTTTCTGAAGTCTGATAGTCTGACCCTCCAGGATATCAGGAGGATCAGCAAACCAGTATTATCACAGCACTTGAGTCTCACTGTCACCCATTTTAAGGGTCTTTCATTTTGATGAAAGAAAGTGTTTGGAAAATGAGAATTGGGCTATGAAAAGCAGAAAATTGGATGTGGTGCTCTGTTTGAGGTTGGAGTGTGGCTCATCATCATCATGATAATCATTTTGTATCCCACGTACCTCATTTAAAATAGGTAGTAAATGAGGATTCAGTCACTTTCCTCACCATGGGAGTTCACACTGATTCTCTGCTGTAATTATCTTAAGTGTAAGAATTGCTTTGGTTTCCTTTACTGGAAGCCAAACAGAACTTTCTTTCCCTGTACTTCATCTGGCAAAACGGCTGTATCTCAGTGCTTTATACAGAGAAGTCTCAGGTTGTCATGGGAATTACTGAATAACCAGAAGCCAGTTTATGTTGATGCTTAAATATTGTGAACTGCCTTTCAGCACAAATATTTATTTTCTTAATTAATTACTCAAACATGTGTCTGCAGTTTCACATTTCCGACAAATGAGTAGGTCAAATGGAATTTTTGGAAGAAGCAGTGGCTAATAGAGGGTTCATTTGACTGAAAACTGGCATCAACATTTATCATCAGTGGAATTTAGAGCTCTTTCCTTCTGAAGCAGGCTTCAGAAATAGAATAGGTGAATCACTCTTTAGGAGGGCATTCTTTCTGTCCTTTGTAAAGGGAGGGTTTGGTCTATACCATGGTTACAGAAATCTGAATCTTGGGAATCCTAGGTCCCAAGGTTAGAGAATGGGAGTGAAATCACAAGTTAAAGTGGATGAAATAGCTAATAAATTGCTTAACATCCAAGAATTTGCTTTTACATCTCTTTGCAGAGTAGATCACTGATTTTTATGCGTTTACCCTAATTAATTGCACACACATCCTAGCTGTATCCGTGTTTCACTCAGTTGCCAGTAGGCTCTAATGATGACTGTGCCCTGCAGCAGATAATACAAGGTCAAGTCTACACCAAGTGCTTTGCTCCTATTGTGTGCCTGCTGAGCCATACCAGCTAAGAGAATTAATCTTCTGACACAAAAGGTGCACTTTGGCCCTAGTAGCTTTTTTAGCTCCTTCAGTAGAACAAAACCCATCGTAAAACTGTAGCTGATAGAACCAATTGCCCTTGGAGGCTTCTGCAAGCACAGCTACACTTTCCTGACTGACTTTGCTACAGCACTTTGAAAACTTTTATGGTGGAGTCGCTTTTATGGTGAGGTTGGACTGCTAAATCTAATGGATGAGCTGTGTCCCATTCCCTTTGATAGGGTGGCATTGCACACAGTAGTTACTAACACCACGAGCCCCAGCCCTGCCCCGGTGCTAGTGTGGAAGAAGCTACCTGTTCCCTGATTTGAGTCATTTAGCAAGTTCTTTGAAAACATACCTGTCAGCAGCCAGCAGCTTATCTGTGTGTGAAAGGGTGGAGAGTTGCAAAAGTGGGAAGTAGCAAGAAAGGCAACGCAGCTGTTTTGCCCATGTGTTTGATCGCCCGCCAAAAGTACTAGTCATAATGGGAGCACTGTTAACACTTCCACAATCTGCTACTTGCCTGCCAAAGCCAAGAGAACCTTCAGTGCCCTTTTTCATGGTATTTTTCAGATCAACTTCTTTAAGAAAGGAGCAGAGATGTTTTCCAAACGAATGGACAGCTTTTTGTCATCTGTTTCAGACATGGTTCAGAGGTAACCTAGTGCTTTTGTTTGCTTTTGTCATTCCCTTGGAGTCTGAGCAGTAGTGCTCTAACCTTCAGCACGTACCAGAGAGTGCCTCTTTTTCTTTCTAATTAGATTCCTTCCATGCTTACATTGTGTTGTTGGGCATATTATGTTGAAGCAACAGGTAGAAAGGAAATGTTTGTACATGGAAAAGTAAATGCTGTCTGTACACTGAAGAGAGTATTTTTTACAGTATAGTCAGAAACTATATACTGTAAAGCGTTCACATGCTTTCTTACATCCCTGTGTCTCTTCAGGAACAGAAAAGCATGCAATTTGGGCTAGAAATGGGTTACTAGTATTAATATGATAGACTTAAGGTGCTTTCTGAATTATAGGTATTTATATTTACTGGGTCTTCTGTAATAATACAGCAACAATAATCCATTAACCTCTCAAATAAGGATTTAAGGCCTAAAGTGTTTGGTGATTTAGTTACACAAGGCAAACAAAACTCCTCACCCTAGGTAACATACTCGTTGCATCCAGTGTAGGCTGTATTAGTCCACTGAGTTCAATGTGCTTCAGCTAAGTCCTAAATTTCAATGAACTGCTTTTGTACTCCTAATTTTGTGATAATTTTTTCTTACACCTCCCCTCCACATCTTCTACTTGTAGTGAAGAGTTTCTTTATAATTAAGTCCCTGTAAATATAAACTTTACACTTGAAATGTAATCATAATAGAGAGAGCATATGTTAAGGAGTTGCGATGGACCATAAAGATAATACAGTCCCAACTGAGTCCTTGACTTCAATGCTTCGTTCCTTTCATATCAAGCTGTAGCCAAATCATTACTTATTCTCACTCTGGTGGCACTTTAAATAATGCATACTTGTTAATTTGAGAACCATGCTACAAACAAGTGCTCTGTACAGTAGATTATTTCGCTAAATGATTCTTTACTTTCTGCACTTTCATACTTGTATATCTTTGCACACTCACTTGGGAAATAAATCTCTCCATATAGTCTATACAGCATTTGTGGAGACTGGAGGACAGATTTTAAATTCCATTGAAATAGTGTCTATTGTTTAGTAAGTCTAAGGCATCTTACTTGTGTCTTACAGGCACTGGGAGGATCCTGCCATTGTATCCTCACCATAGAATAAGCCCTTGTTTTCCACAGTTGGATGGATTTGAGGTCTGGACAGTGTGCAGTAGTAAATGGAAACAAAAATAGGCTGCTCAGTTATTTTGCTGAATCTGGTTTTTGCGTTTAAAGTCTGTCACACAGTAAAAAAGTACAACTCAAATGTAACTAGTAAAGGAACATGATGTCTTTGGAAAAACCAAAATAGAAGCTTGTAAAATTCTGAATGGCACTGTGCAGCAAAGAATTACTGACACAGGGCAGGGTTTCATGACTTCACTTCGCACAGCCACTGAAAACTGTTCTGCCCACTCCTCTCCTTCCTTAGTGCTGGGGATCACAAGGCCTCAGTGAGTCAGATCTGCTTGCTAGTCAAGCTAAAAGCTTTCCACTTGTCAGCTTTGTTCCTTTGGAACAACAAGCTGATGTGACCCATTGTGCAGCTGCAGAATTTCAGTGGTATTTAAAAGCATTTTCATTTATACAGTGAATATTGCTAATGGTGTAAAAACACAGGAGATATCTACACTAACACGTTCTCAGTAACCACTTGGCCTAATTGCCACAAATGCATATCACTTCAGAATTGTCAGCACTTTTCTTCCTGCCTTACAGAAGGGAGAAGCACATCTTAGGAAGAGTAATACAGTCTCAGAAAGCATGAAGGTGCCAGGGGGGCTTTGTCAAAAGCATTTTGTAGTGCAACAAAAATGACAGATTAAAAGATTCATTGAAATAAAACTGAGGTAAAAACTGACAGCAGTTCCACTGTATTTAAAAACACTGTATTTAAAAATTAATTCTTGTTCTGATATCCAATGATGGAGTGGAAAGGCATTAGCTTGCAAAATATGGTCCAATTTAATTCAGATTTGATATTTTTTGAATCACACCAAAGCAGAACACAGTATTATAAACAAAAAATTAAAGCTGAAGTGAGATTTGAGCTACAGCTTTTGTTAGTGTATTGTTCTGAGTTAATTAAAATCCATGACCAGTTACTAGTTGGTGTCAAGGCAGGAATTCCTGTGTGTTACAGACTTGGAGGGATTAGACAAAGTTCTGTGAAAGCCAAGAGATCCTCTAGTACAGCCTGCTTTGAACTACGCCACAATACTAGGGCAATGTCTGTATGTGTTCAGCCGTGTAAATTCATAGAAGCATTACTTTTAGAAGCTGTCTCTCAAAAAATAAACCTAACTCTTATTTCTCAACACAACATTCCTCATGTGCTCATTTAATATTATAAAACACTATTTCCTATAAAGTCTATTCAAAAAATAAATTTCATATTTGCACTACCCGCCAAGGTAAACTCAGATGGTATTTTTGTTCATTTTGGCTTACAGCTGTTACCTGTATCCTGGTATAAACGGCTAATGATGGCTTTGGGTGCCTTTTTGTATTGTTGTTTGTTATTTTTTTTCCAGCATACAGGGAGAGCTGGATGCCGAAGCTGAAAAAATGAGAATTTCCCAGCAGGACTTAATTGCAGTTAATGAATCTGTTTACACCCCAGATTCTGATGTAACTTCACCTGCCATCAATAGAAATCTCATCCAGAAGGCTGGCTACCTTAATCTTAGAAAGTAAGAATATTATTATCTGCTGGTTTGTTTAGTGGCTACATTTTTGGGGGGGAGGTAATAAACATCAGATATTGATGTTTGAGTGTCCTGAATCAGTTTGGTAGCTCTACTTTTCATCCACCAAGTACCTCTGTCACCTTTGGAAATGTGTTTTTGAAGCTTCGACCAAATTAGAGGCATTTGAGACTATTTTTCTGAAAACAGAGTTTTGTTTCTGCTTGAATTTACCTACAGGAATAATTTCCTGCATTCAAGTGGCTAAAAATTGGAAGCTGATGAGGCTGGGTTAAGATTGTTCCCAGATCTTAAGGAAGATACATTGTTTACCAAAAAAATATATATTTTGTAGTTACTAAATATTTTTATAAATATTCTCTTTTACATAAATGAAAGCTTAAGGAACAATGCAAGTTTGTAACTTTGAATGTGTATCATATGTAGAATTACTTCTGTAGATTTTACGTATAAAATTTTCCATAAACTTCCACAGGAGTTAGATATATTGGTGGCATATAATAACTCTATTTATGGGATTGATTAATTATCAGTTTATTATTTTGTTTGTCTAGTAGTTTTTTCCTTTGTGAGTGTACATCTGTTAATTTTTCACAGTATTCCAAAATCTGGATTACACTATTATAGGACTCTATAGCTAAGTAAGAGATGGACTCTGAGATACTACTGCAGTAGATACTTTTATATATTATGATTCTTTGTGCTGAAATTGCTCATAGTATTTCATGTCAGTTATTCAATTTTCTTTTATTCCTTAACTAGAAAAGACGATTTTTAACTAGGACATTTGGAATTAATTAAATTTTTCAGTTTTCATTAAGGATTAGTCTCTGCTAGGAACAGGTGCTGCTTTTTCTTCTTAACAGAGAGCCATCATTAAAAAATGCCAGGGTGAACATATAGTTCTGATTAGCATCAGGATATGTTTGCAGTTTCATACCTGTTTGGAGTTACTTCTAAATAGTTACGAGTCTTTATCACTGCATCTTCTCATCAGTAAAACAGGTCTGGTGACTACAACTTGGGAAAGACTCTATTTCTTCACTCAAGGTGGCAACTTGATGTGTCAGCCAAGGGGAGCAGTAGCTGGAGGATTGATTCAGGACCTGGATAACTGCTCTGTTATGGCTGTGGACTGTGAAGACAGAAGATACTGCTTTCAGATCACTACTCCTACAGGCAAAGCGTATGAGACAGGTTTTGTTTGAGGACAGCCAGTCACACCTACCCCTTCAGATGCTCTTTCCTGTAAAACTTGTTTGCTATAGTAGTAAGATTTTCTGGGTTTCCAGAAGAGTGTTTCCAAATTAAAAGCATATTCCTTCCAATCCTCCCCCACAAGTGCCTGAATGGCACATGTGGTGTCTTAGCTGCAGCTTATTCATGATTCTTGTTCCTTTGGTGGTTAATAGATGTAAAGTTTGGTGATGTTACTATAAACACTGGAGTTAAAGAATCCTGGTGTCCACTGTTAGCACTTATACACTGTGTTTATATTTTAGGGGTATAACTCTTCAAGCAGAAAGCAAGAAAGAATATGAGGAGGTAAAAATATTTTCTTAATATTATTCTTGTATACAAGTGAGCTTGAAGACTTCAGTTTCATTTTTCCCTTACAGTGGATATGTGCTATCAACAACATCTCCAGACAGATCTATCTCACTGACAATCCAGAGGTGGGAGCTTGTTTTCCATCTTTCAGTCCATTCCTTCAGCTTGCTCTCCCATTATTCTTCAGATGGTAAGGTAAACTACATGTCTAAAACAGATGTTCTGTCTTGTTTTCATAGGCAGCTGCAATCAAATTAAATCAGACAGCCCTGCAAGCAGTGACTCCCATTACTAGCTTAGGGAAAAAACACGAAGTTCAGCATCCCAGGTAACGTTCCCCCTTGCATGGAGCAGGGACTGTGTGCAGTTGAATTGAGCCTGGGGCCGAGGGGTCTTAAGGAGATGTTGGGATTGTCACTGAAAAGTGCAGATACAAGTGCAGGTCTCTGCTGGTAATGCAGCTGTGAATATGGACAGGGCAGGGAGACAAATGGCCACCTATTGCTGAAAGTCAGCCTATGCTCAGAGTTGATCTGCATTCAGGTTTAATATACCAATGTTTACTTTTATCCTAAATAATATTAGGTTAAAAAAAATAAATTATTAGAGTCCTCAGTGACAGGCAGATAGGAAAATACCTTACATGTCTGCATAGTGGTTAAGTCCTGCTTTGGATTTTTGAATAATTTGTCTCCCTTCCAGAGCAAGGGTAGAGCGTCAGTGATGGATAGAAACATAATTTTTTTTACATTTGCACTTTAGCCAGACTGTGAAGAATATGGAAAATGACAAAATAATTCCCAGTGAATCAGCTGGCATTCAAGACTCCACACAACTCATTGCTCCTGGAACACCAATCCAATTTGACATCGTACTGCCTGCCATGGAATTTCTGGACCAAAACAGAGGTGGCAGGTATGGCCAGAGACAGTGATCCATCAGTGTAACAGTGTGAATTTAGGCGAGATGAAGCATTGCAGCATCTGTTTGTGGTGATGACCAGAATCTGTAATTAAAGATTTAATTCTTCCTTCTACAGGCGTGCAAATCCATTTGGGGAATCTGAACACAGCAGCAAAGATGAGGAGGAAGGTCAGTGCTTCTTTCTTCCAAAGAAAGTTAGTCATGATTCTAGCTAGTGTCTCTTAAGAATAACAACTGACATTGTGGAGCAGAAGTAAGAGACCCATAGTAAAGTGACCTTCCTGTACCAGCACATGCAGTGCCTGGCCCTGGCTGTTCTCCTCTTACCCTGTGCCTGGAACTTGCAGCCCTGTCAGAAAACTGCTCTCAGAACCAAAGCAGTATCTACTGCTCTGAACATTCACCCTGCTTTCCCTTGCTCACCACTGGCCATAAAGGGAGCCTGGTCAAGTGATGGCTTTGCTGCATAATGGCTGCTTAGTTGTCATTAAATCTTATGGTGACAGTCAAGGAGCAAGGAAGGATTTGGTGAAAACCTCACTGGAGGTTTTCATCCGTCTGCATGGAAGGTCAGAAGGACATAGAAGAAAGGGAAGCATGTACAAGGCTTAATGGAAGCCAAGGCTTGTGCACAGTCCTAAATTCATCACAGTTTATGTGCATCCGATAGCAAAACAGGCAAGGGAATTTTATTCTCTTATCAAATGAAGCATAAAGGACCAGTCACACTTTTAAAGCTTCCAGGCAACTGCAGTAATTTTCTTCCCCACCTCCACACTGCTGCCTGTTCACAGTTTGAAACTGGGTCAGGGCACTGTGTGACTCATGGCAGAAAGCCACCACTCATTTCGGTCACCAACCACAGGCTTACTGTTGAATTTCCAAAGTGAATAAAATAATTCCATTGATAGTTTGAGCTACTGGAAAATTGAAGTAGCACAGTGAAGGAAGTCACAGCTTTTCTCTTGCAGATTCCCTGCTGCAGCAGATGTTCGTGGTTCGGTTTTTAGGGTCCATGGCTGTTCAGTCCGATGAGACGTGCGAGGTGATTTATGAAGCCATGAGACAAGTGTTGGCCGCTCGGGCCATTCACAACATCTTCCGCATGACTGAATCCCATCTCATGGTCACCAGCAAGAACCTGAGGTACTGTAAAAGCATTAACTTGTCAAAATTCTGTTCTCTTCATACAATTTGTGGTTAATTATGTATCGTTGGTTTTGTTTTTCTGAGACACACCCTTTGAGGAAGCAAGATCCCAAGAGTCACTTTACCTAGAAAGAAATGTCTCTATTCTTATTCTGGAGTATCTAGAAATGATCCTTCAGACCAAGTTGTAGGAATGTTCTATCAAAATCTAAGGGATGCAGAGGGCCTTTTTGTCAAAGATACAAAAAAAGATGCAAAACAATGGATTGGAAGATTCTCTTTCCTAACAATGTCCTTTAACAGTAGCGTCACTGTAGAATATGCCGGTATCAGACATTCCCTTTAGTTGGGGTGTGTTTATGTCCCTCTGCATTGTGTTAGCCCAGGCACTCAGGATGCTTTCCAAGTGACTCAGAAAGGTGCTCTGACCTGTACCTGTCAGGCAGCTGAGAGTCAAGGCCTAGATTTGAACCTTGCCATCACAGCTCAAGCACCTGATTCTGTGCATGTTTCCTCATCTGTAAAACTGCTGGAGTTACTGCCTTTCTATTATAAATGCCCTTGAAATTACCAGGAATCACTTTAAAAAAAATTTCTTTTTTTTCCCTACTAATTGCAGGTTAATAGATCCTCAAACCCAAGTTACACGAGCAAGTGTAAGTAGCTTTTTCTATCACAGCAGTGACTACTCAGTCACATGAACCTGAGCTAACCTGCTAATTTGAGCTGATTAAAACAAATAAACTATTTCTTTTCCAGTTTGAACTCACCACTGTGACACAGTTTGCTGCCCATCAGGAGAACAGGAGACTGATTGGCTTTGTGATCCACCTCAGTGAGACTCTGGGAGAAGACTCCATGAGCGCATATGTTTTTGAGAGCAACACAGAAGGGGAAAAGGTTTGTGTAACATTTAATACAATTTTTCATTTAGAAAACAGGTGTGTGGCTTCTTGGCTTACACATCTGGGAAACAGTGCTACAGAAACAAGAGCAGCTCAATTTCTGGCCAAGAAAGCATGTGTTAACATGCAAGCCTTTACTGGCTTATGTCTAAAAAGGACCAAATGAACAGATAATGCAGCAGCATGTATAAGGAGGAAAGAATGGGATTGCTAATCCTAGCATTAAGAGATGGGAAAGTGCTGTCCAGCAGCACCATTAACAAAAGGAATGTCAGGTATGTTGAGACATGTACAGCTGTGAAGCCATATGTGCTAACACCACTGGCTGTAACAGAAATGAGTGAGATGCAGAACTTTTGTCCTCCCCCAAGTGTGGGAATAAAGTGTGGTGACTAAATCTAACCAAGCTGAGTGCAAAGATTACCAGCCTCTGTGAGCTTTGAAGCTGAACCCAAGATAGTGTTCTTTATTTAGCATAGCAAACTGGTATTCCACCTCTGCTTTTAGACCTGGTTTTAAGACTAAGTTTGCACTTACATTTGTGTGATTTACTCTTAATTAAAAAAACAAACCACAACTGAACAGAACTTTACATTTATTTCTTCATTGTAGATTTGCTATGCCATTAGCTTGGGAAAAGAAATTATTGAGGCACAGAGGGTAAGTTTGTTTAATTCCCCACATCTGTATGATATATCACATTCTGCTTTTTGGCTGCACTGTCCAGGTACCTCTGGTGTGCATAAGAAAAACAAACTGCTACTCCTCCTAAGGACAGAGTTTTGCAGATATTATTTGATTTCTCAGTAACACAATTTGAGATAAAATGTGCCACCCCAATCCAAATTCAAAATTACATAAATCCAAATGTTCGTGTCTGAAAGTTATGAGCAAAGTTTTAAAAAAAAAACCAAACTAATTCTTTGGGATGATGTATAAATCACAAACACTGCTGTTTCACTTTTAGAAACTTAGATCTTTTTTTCCTCACCTAGGGATGAAAATCACAGTGTTTTTCCACTTTAAATGAATGGCAGTTACCAGGTTCCTTGTAAATACATTTCATCAATACAGATGTGACGTTATTATTTGCTGTATATTTTTGCGGCTAAGATTTCAGAACAAGATGGGGAATGAGCTTTTAGTCACAATCACTAAGCATGTGTTTAATAAATTCTTGAGGCAGTTACTTTTTTTCCTTGCTTTTCAATAACTAAAGAACAGCAGAATAAAGGCTCAAAATTAATTACATTTATTTTTCTTCTTAAATACCCTAAGGGTTGTCTTTAGTTAACCAAAAGGTACTGTTTATGTTTCTAATCTTTAGAATAAAGCTTGTTAAAAAAAACAAAGTTGCAAAAGCTTAGCAAGAATACTGGGCAGCTTGCTGACCTCTCTTCTTTTTCTTTAGGATCCAGAAGCATTAGCTCAGCTAATGAAGTCTGTGCCATTAACAAGTGATGGGAAGTTCATACTTCTGAATGATGTGTCAGAAGAAGATGGAACCATGCATGAAGGAGGGGAGGAATCAGAAGCATAAGCAGCTCCTGTCACTTCCTGCAGCCTGTGGGAGCAGCATAAGCAGGGAGTCTTCTTACAAGAATCTCTGGTTGTCGGTCACCTGTGCACACCTGAGGCCAGCTGCCCTTTCCTGCTGGAGAGCAGTGGTGTCTTTGCAGCGGAGTCCCTTTGGATTAACAGCCCAAGCACAGCAGGACTGTGCCCTCGAGGCACTTTGCGTTTGGGAATGTGTAGGGTGGAGCTGTGTCTGCGGAGCTGACAATCCCTAGGAGAGCCCCGTGCTGCTGGTGGGCAGGAGAGCACAGCTGTCAGCCACCGAGGGTTAATGGCATTTCTCACATTTATAGGGCCAGCAGCCTCTCATTCCATTGAAATTTGCGTGAGCTTCCAGCTCTGCTAACAAATATCAAGCTTCAAATTTCCTACCATAGTCAATTTTCATAGTTTGCATTATGTGCATCTGAATGAAGGTTAAAAATGCACTATCTACTTTATTTCAGATGAAGTTACTTTTAGTCTAGTTTATGTATAATGAGATTTAGCTTTTGTGTTAGCGTATTTACAAAACAATTTGTTAAACACTAAATTTTTCCTATTAATATAATCTATTTTTATATTGCATCTAGAATAAGCTTACAAAACAAATCTAAGTGCCTGCTCTTACCTTCCATGGGACCACACTCTCACATTCTGTAATTAAATAACGGGCAAAATGTACCTCCTTGATTTATTATCCTAAATACCACTGATATGCAAACCTCAGAAGTAGGCAATGAATGTGGCATGTTAGCTGTATGCAGTTTTTTCTATGGTTAGGTTTCTTGCCAGAGATGGTAATAGTAGGACAAATAAGTACTTTTATAGTAAGAATTCTTTGTATTTTTAACGTTGTGGTGACATGCAACAGCTGAGTCTACCAGCAACCTTTGGTTTTAAGAAACTGAGCAATAAAATGTTAGATTACAAGTCTACAATGTATTGACAAGTCTCACAGTACCTTCCTGAGATTAGACACTAGAGAGATTTGGCTAGTAAGTTTACATTTCTTTTCTGTCCTGCAAACATCAGCAACATTACTTTGCAAGAAGAAACAAAACAGACAAAATAAAAAGCTGTTGGGGGGAAGGTGGGGGGGTGTAACTTGTAGCACAGTTTATATTAATCAGGATAAGGTACCTAACTCTTCTCAGCCACCCAGAGACTAGATTTTCCATAAGCAGAATCTGTGCAACAGTATCTGAAAGACCCCAGATTGGAAGTGTTGATACGTAATAAATGTTATTTAACTGGTTATTAAATTTTTAAAAGTACCGAGGAAGAAAACTGTAACTGACACAAAAACTTCTTCATAAATAAAAGCTGAAGCTTTCTTATTAAAAAAATTAACACTGAATGGGTGTTACTGAAAACACTGGGAATGAGGTTCTCAAAATTGCATTTATTAACACAGTTTTATGTACATAATGTTCTCTACTCACAAACCAAAGAGACTGGAGTAACAAAATACCCTTCTGTACAATGAGTTAGGAAACATTAAGTATTACATTTGGTCCTTTGTACCTGAGAAGCTGAAAACAGCTGTTGATGGACTTCTGATGCAACTCAAATTTCCTTCTGGTTCCAGGCTGCATTAGGACTTGCAGAATGTGCCCTTTCATCACCAGGAGTTTGCAGCAGCTGGGTGCTGCTGTGGCCATGCAAACCCTTGGTGGCAGGGCTGACAGGGAGCTGTGTGGCCACAACCCCTGGGAGAGCAGCTGCTGCCACTTCCAGCAGCCTTGGCACAAGGCTGAACACCTGAGGGCAGTGGTGGCAGCTGCCTGCTGGAGGTGAGAGCCTGGCCTTCAGCCTGTTCTAACCCTGTCCTGAAGAAAAAAAAACCTAAATTCATCATCCTCACGTCTATCACTCCTGGGAATTTCTGAGTGAGCACATCTGGTTTAGTTTAGAGGACTTTTTGTTTTAGCTCCATTGTCTCATCTCCAGACAACCACTTAGGGTCCATTTAGTTCCTGTAATTGCAACAGGAGGCCAAAAGCAACAGAAAGAGTAGTAGCACCACAGCATGAATTTTGCCCCCCTTCCACTTCCTTGTGGGGAGAAAAAAGGATTTAATTCAACTCAGTGTCACGTGTGACATCCAAACCCATGACCCACCTTGGATTTCAGGTAAGAAAAAAATCTTTCTGCATGTCTGTGCTGCTACATGACAAAGAGAAAGAAGGAAATACAAACTACAGTCCTATATTAGCAAGAATAGCTCTATTATCACTGTACATATTTGTGTATGTATATCTTTTTGCCACATAGAGTATACATTCAGTTCTCCCAGATTAAACAGGCGTCTATAAAAATAGGCTATGTCTTTCCTCTAGAATTTCCATCACCAGAACCACATGAATTTGTTAACCACTGTACATGAAGACAGCGCTCAGTTCACGTTATGTTCAACTGCAAAGTCTTACCATAGCAAGATAATGTCTTTCCAAAAGAAAAAAAAAGATGTAGAAGGGAAAATACAAGTGCAGACTAGAGTGTGGGCTGTGTCTTCACCATACATGGCTCCCTAAGCAAGGCCATCCTGGGGAAAGGAACACCATCTATGGGTGATTCTGCCGTTGCTGTGGAAGGAGGAAACGCACCACTTAGCCATTCCACTCCGCGAACTTAGGTGACTTCAGCAGAGATGGGAATGTGGAAGGATGGGCACAGCAACTGCAGCAGGATGGGAAGCAGCAGCAAGAATGCTGATCTTGGCAGTGCTACTGAGCATTCAGTGCGGGCACAGTTTGGTCAAAAAAAGTGTACACAAATTAAAAAAAAAAAAAACCCACAAACCTGTATCAAAGTAAAAAAGCAAAAATATAAATCAAGTAATGCAGCATTCTTTAGGGCAGTTATAATGAATTAAAAATAAAAACTTTAATGAGCCCAGCTGATTTTAACAGTCCATGAAGCTTGTGTGTCATGTTCTCAGAACCAACAAATGGAACGTTCGTATCAGTCTGGTCTTTCCAGTTGCGACAAAACATTCATCCTTGCTGTCTGAATGTTGAAGTGACTGGCAGGAAAGGGTGAATCAAAAATACATCAGGAATTGTTTTAACCAATGACCCGAGAGTGGGTGGAACAATCTGAACCACTAAAACACGTATTAAAGCAAGTTTGGTCTAAAAAGAGAGTTTAAGAGTGCCAAAAAAAAAAACCCAAGGGTAATTCTCTCAGCTGGACTGACTAGAATAGTTTATTCTGGTTGGTAAGAACTAGAAGGGTGTTATGTTCTGGGAGATTAAAACACACCTGTATATTTTAATAGAAGTGGTGTTTTCTTTTAAGCTAAGTCTAGCTACTTAAGTTAGGAATCCAAGTAACTCTTTCACAATCTAGAACCTCTACTTGCAGGCATGGACACATGTTATACAGAGTTCTCACAGTGTTCAGCAGCTTCTGAGCCTGCAGTGCAATTATTGTTAATAATCAGGCATGTAAGACTGTATGAACAACACACGGTACAACAGACCTACAAAGGCTAGGAAATACAGAATTGAGGCTGAAACTTGCAATTAGGCACAACATATATGAACTGTAAGATCACTTAATAGGTACAGACACCCATCACAGTGTCTGGTCATAAAAGGAAGAGCTGATTGTGGTTCTGTCTCGGCTCTGGATTTCCTTACTTCTGTGGATGCAAATCAGACCTTCAGTATGAAATGAGAAGTAATTTGTTACGTTCACTTTTCTTGTTTTCCCATTCTTTGATAAGGGGGAAAAATGAGAAAATAAATATTTGATGGGATCCTAAGCTCCCACAGTACAAATGCTGTCTATAATAATAACAAGGGGATTTGGAATTAAGCAGTAATAAGCACTTCCATTTTGTGTAATAGATTTAACATATATTCACAACATACACTGTTACACCCACAGTGTAATCTGTGACTGCATTAAATGCAACAGGACTGCACAATGACATGTCTCATTTTTTGGACAACAGACAGACCCAATATCTAGATTCAAGGTTTTTTTCTGGTTGAAGAGATGCCAGTTCAAATCTTGGACCAACAGCCTATGAGTATGGATTTTTTTAAATGCTATGACAGAGATGCAAGAATGCATCTAGAAATTGATGAGGATTTTTTTATCTGCATATCTGTACTTTAAAATAACTACCTCCAAGGACAACATTTTATTAAATTATTTTCAATCTAAAGAAAGTGCTGTAAATAATGCAAACTCCTGAAAAATAGGAGTTTCTACAGGAAATATAGACAAACACAGACCTAGCTTCAGTGGATGCTAGTATACTACTGTACATTTTCTCTTGGATTTAACAGAGCAAGTAAATCAAATCTAGAGCTTTAACTCCTACAGGGTGTTACTGATGAAGACAAGGACATGAGTTATTTGAGTAAGTAATCATCACCCATACCAGCCATGTCATTTCACAACAGGCTCTGCAGGCGTAGAGTTGGAAAGATCTCCATTGCTTGCTTTACCAGATTCTTCTAAGAAAATAAAAAATAAAGGCATAGATCATGTTTAACACTTCAAAACAAAACTCCTCAAATCCTAGCATATATATACGATGTCACAGCAACATCTCATGCAGTATTTCATGATCAGCATATGCAACATGACATTGCAGCACAAGAGGTCCTGGCCCTATGAAGAAATTCATATTTGGGGTGAAAGGTTCTTCAACCAGCAGTACTTGTCTCAAAATTACATATACAATGCCCATACATTTTTCAGAGTCCAAGTCCAAATATCATGGTAGAGGGCATAGATATTACCATGTTCAAAACTTTCCACTCTGGTATGCATTTCCAGCTTTTCCCACTGCATAACACATTGCCTGGGGAACTGAACAGGTACCACAACAGAGAATATTTAACCTAAAATATAATTAGCTGATCGTCTCCAAAATGGTCTTCTACAGACTCCAGAGCAGCATGTCTATTCTTCTCACACTGCTTGGAGTTCTTCAGATTTGTCTCTTTTTTTTTTTTCCGGCACAGAATATTTATCTGAGCAACTTCACTGAATATGATCAAATATAAATTCATGCTAAAAGAGATTTTCTTTACAAACTGTTTTTCTAGCACATAAGAAAACTGATCTTTTTCTCTAGTGACTGTAATTTCACAGGTTACTTGTGCCTTTGTCAGAACTACAGTGGGGAATTATTTCCAATTCAGTTTTTAATATACTGTTCCCTGAGTTTCTAAGTAACTTGTGACCAAACTGCATTTCTATATCTTGATCCTTAGGAGCACTCTCATTTCTCTGGAAATAATTTTCTCAAGAGAATCTTTCAGCATTCATGAGGGAGAATATATAACCAGGAATAGAAATGCAAAACACCATAATATTACCTAGTCAAGAGACCACACCACAAATTAAGATCTTACCCCTTGAATACAAAATTCAGTGGGAGACCAAGCATATCATAAACATCTGAATATCTACACTAACTGCATCATCTGCTATATAAGTTGAAAACTAGCTGGTACAACAGGTGAAACTTTATTTAACACCACCAGTCAACACTGGTAATTGAAGAGGTTAGTATGATGCTGAAGTTACTGAATTTAATATTACTGCAAGTATGCAATTCTCCCTGTCCCAGGCTTTTTTTGCCAACTGGGTCTTCTGTGGGGTTGCTTTTTTTTTCCACACCCCAGAAGCCCAGCTTGAAATTCACCTATTCCAAAGGAGTTCTTGAGCTGTTCTTGCTGAGTTTTAATCACCCATATCACATAAACCTCTCTCTGGAATACTCAATCAACCTATATGCAAGAAAGCATCTATGAAAAAGAAACTCTATTAAGGCACACAGTCTCATTAGCCAAAATATTCTACATATAAGATTCACTCACCTTCTTTTTCTTTCTTTTCCTGACTTTCTTCTGCTGCAGTTTTATCCGCTCTGAAAAAAATTCTTGCACTACTTAGTGAGAAATAAAGGAGTTCAAATTCCTAAGGGAAAAGATAAAGAAGAAGAGCATCAATGTATCACAAATTTCTAAACAAATACCAATGGGATTTTTCATGAGCATCTTAGGCACCTAGAATTCAGTATCTAAATCACTTAAATGCTTTTGAAAATCTTCCTCCTTTCATACCTTATTCACATGCATTTTACAAAGAAAATGTCAAATTCCATTAAAGGGCAACTTCAGCAAAGCAGCATTACTGCAATAAATTTGTCACTGACCTACTGAGGCTGAAAATGAGGCTTGTAGCAGCAGTGAGAACTTAGAGCAATTTGCCTATGGAAAATCATGCAAGCCAGTAATTTAAACTACAATCTTCATCAGTGTCTGAACAAGGTTCAGTGATGTGGTTTTTTAACACAGAGGACCAAACACAGTGCACA